TTTGTATGATAACAATATTTATAACTTGGAAATAAATTTGGGAATAATCAGAATTCATTGTGAAATCCAATGAAAGTCACCCATTAAATAAAAATTGTTTGTGCAGAAAGTACATACGTACATCAAATTGTCTTTAAATTAAGTGGCAGTAGAATTATTGTTGGACCTTTAAAAGCTAAGCTTAAGTATTAATGCAGTACTTAAATGCAGCGATCAATTTTGGCTTCTTTTGTAGCTTATTGTTGCCTATCACATCTACTCCTCCGTGTGATGAAGGCCCAATCAAGAGCCCTCTGCAGGATCTAGCTTAAATGGCACCCAATCGGGCAACTTTTAAGCTAATTATTAATAAATATTGGAAAAGACAAAGTATTTGAAGTCTGTCTTGTTAATAAGACTTGTCAAATGCAGTATTGAAATTTGATGTAAGCAAGTTATCCAGTGACTGTTTATATTGTGTAATTTTTGTTCTCATAGATTTAACTTTTTACTGATCACAGACAGATCTTGAAGCATCATATACAGGTTCTTATGTACTGAGTCACAATAACAAACATTTCCATATTTTATTGATATACAAAGTGTCTTCAATTATCTTAAACTGGCAGCAATTTTCAAAGTGCTTTCATGGAAAATACTGATCTAACTACTTCAGTTAGATGATTTCATGTCAAACTCGTAATTACTTCATAGTAATCTATCTATAAAATTGTATGACTTCCGTCACAGCTTTTAAAATAGCCATATATTGACCGATCGAAACCAAATTTTGTGGAGAAGAGCAAACACATAAGTACAAATTATAGTTGGTTTTACTAGGGTACGTAGCTTAGTACAATAAATTTTCATTAATTTTTTTATAAAAAAATTAAAACTTAGAATATGATTGATTTGCGAAATTGAACGAATTGTAGAGCGATAACTTCAACAATACTAAATACTGTTGTAATGAGTAATAATTCTAATCTGTCCAAAGTGGCAAAATCTAAATCAGGTAGGATTATTAAATGAAAAAGACAATGTAGATCTTGATTCTTTTTTTTTTTACACTTATCAAGCTCTGCTTAATCTGATGAAAAACTGGTGCTTCTCATTCAATAAATCATATCATCTAAAAATAAATAAATTGGATTTATCTGTTGTGGGGATAAAGATATTCTGTCAAGTGAATTTGTTAGATTATGAACTGGTCTTATTTGAAATAATACTAGGTGTTAATGTGACAATGACTATTTGGTGTTATCTTCTGAATTATGGCTTGATCAATTAACAAGGACTAAAACCTGTTCGAAAACTACTTTTAATTTGTATTTTAAAATATCTGCCTGTTCAGATTTGCAAGTGTATTTTAGATTGGAAAATTTTGACATTCCAGTGCACACTTCATAAATACTTGCATCTCATTTAAAGCATGGAAATGAAAACTGGAGTTCTTTGTACATCAATTTTATCATCATAGTAAAGTTCTGGGAGAGACTAATAGAATAATTGAGCAGACATTCTGTTTCAAATTCATTTTTTTTTTTTTTTTTTTTTTTTGTAAAGATTCCTGTTAAAGCATTTTAGAATATTTATAATTGAGTATTTGTTTTAATTATATTTTTGTCTGTGTCTAGCTTCCCACACCAGTGAATATAAAAATACTTGAACTCTGAAAAATAGTGTGGTTAGAGGTCGAGTTGACAGATGCTGTTATTGCATAGAAATTTGTTTTTATTGCCACACAAATACAATGTAGAACTTAACAGCGTTGACTTTCATGAACCTATTTGGTTGTATGTATATATTTTTTATCATGGTCATTTTGTAAATGTTGGAAAATGTTCACTATTAAACCATCTATAACTTTTACCATTAAAAATTATAGCTCTGTGATAGCTGAAATCAGTTATTAACACATTGGCTCCCAAGCCTTATTTCCCTTGTCTCAGCACTATATCTTAATTCATTTTGGTACAAGTGACTTTGTTTTAACAGTATTTTATGAGGCAAGGATATCATAGGTAGTATTTATCACCCACAACTCACCAGTGTGTCATTCAGTACAAGTTCATTTTGCAACCCTGAGTCTCACGCAAACTACTCGTGGGTTGTTGGAAAATTCCCAATATACAAGTATTACATTGACACTAACTCTATATTCAAAAATATTTAAATTTTTATGGGGAAAAAATGTAGTTCTGGTCTACCATACTCTCATAAGTAATCAATCATCCCACTCCCAATAATCCCCATAGAAAAGAAATTGGAAAATGACCCACCAGACTTGCAGACATACCACCACAAACCTCCAGTGGGAGCCAACGTGTTAATATTGTGATATTTTTAACTACATTTAATACCATGTAACAAGATTACAAATCACATGAAAATTTTTAAGTATAAAACTTAAAGATTTTCAAGTGATTTGTAATCTTGTTTTCACAACTTAACCTGTTTTAAATGAGTTTTTTTTTTTTTTTTTTTTTTTTTTGTTATAGAGGAGAATTATTAAATTATGCTAATAACTAAAAAAAAAACAAATTTTATTGAACTTATTTTTACTTTGATCTTACAATAAACTTTCCAGTTTACATTTAAGATAACTTTTTTTTTTTTTTCTTTTTTTTTTAATGAAGCCTTTTTGGTAACTAACATAGGTTTAAAAATAGAACACTGAGTTTAGGCTCAAGCAAGATACATTTGAAAGATGATTTGCCAGATTCTGAAAATGGTTTTTCTAATTCTCCAGAATAGAGTATGTAAGAATTTGTCTAATACTAAGAATTCAATGTCTTGACACACCAATGCAAAGACTACTTTATGCAGAATTTATTTCAGACCAACTTTAGAAAATTAGATTTTATTTTTTTTATGGTGCCTTCAATGAAACTGATTTGTGGTGTGTGGGTTAGATATATGACCAGCTCTTGTGATCACTGAAAGGAACAATAAAGCTTTTGATAATTTCAATTCCTGTGGTTCTGTCTCCTTTTTTCAGTTAATTGATAGTTACTGTTCACTCATCCTTAAGTACTTGTGTGCTGTCTTGTCCAAAGTAACTTGAGTTTTATCATGCATAACTTTTACTAGCCAGTGCATGGCTACATAGAATTTATCAGAAGTTCATTGCTAGTTGAAATTTAATGTGAAATATTAGCAAAGTTTATATTAAGACAAGTCAAATGTTCCCTTCTTGTTAAGAGAATTAGTTTATTATAGTTTGATTTACCTGAACTAGTGAAAAGGAATTTTAAATTTAGCCAGTTTTTCTTAAAAGGAAATCTATAACTGGTGGTCCATGAGCATTTGCATATAAAAGTTGTGCATTTCAAGGTTTACAGGAAAGTAAGCATCAATAATGAATTATAATTAAAACATTTTATACTCCAAGCCAGTGTTTCTCAACCTTTTTCAAGCAATAGCACATGTAGGTACAAATGAAAATATCACTGCACACTTAGCAAAATTTTTAAAGGGTATACAATTAAATGTTATGAAAAAAAAACATTTTAAAAATAAATAAATTAATTAATAAACACATAAATATGAACTTACTTTATTTCAATGTTTCTATTGAACTATTTGTGCAGTCCATATACAGCAAAAGATTTATGATGAATTTCTGTTGGAGTTTTGCTCTTGACACACTCAAATCTTATTCCATCTCCCATCACTGTTTGATGGTGATAGTCATCTTTGATATGATGTCACATATATGTGTACTTATTAAGGCTATTTTCTCTGTTACAACTGTTGCACTCCCCCTGTTGAGTTTTGTAATCCAGTTTTTACAATGTTTCAATTGCAGTCCATTTTATACCTCCCTGCATCTTATTTTTTTAACATTTCTCATACCTGTATAATATATACTGTATGGTCATTGAATCTTCACTTGTCCCATGAGTTGTAAGATTGTGAAATTTCATAACATATAGATAAGCAAAGCTGACTATATCCACTTGGTCTTTGAATTGAGTTAATTTATAAGACATTCACTATAAAAATGTATTTTCACTTTCAATTGTCGTTTTTTTCAAAATTGGTTACATAAGTAATTTTCATTGAATCCTATGTTTTTATTATGGCTACTTTATTTCTGAAAGTTTTAATTTTACATTTTTCTGTTGGACCTTGGTTATGGCATAATTAGTTATTTGGATGACAAAAATTGACATTAAAAATAATTTTAAGCTTGCTTTAAGTACATAAGACTTTTTAACACATTAATTTTTTTTGTAATTAAAAGTAACTCCTAATTTAAAGATATTTAAATTGTAATATTTTTTTTTTTTTTAAATTTCTAATGTTTTTGGTACCTGTCAGTTTGGGATAAGCAACATATAAATTATGCAGATATGTTTTGGGTTTTATATATATATATATATAATGAACAATCACAGCAAGAACTGTTTTGTGTGTGACAAAACAACCCGCAGATTTTATATATAAATATAATCAATTTGTTATGGCTAGTGCAATCAAATGATACCTCTTATGAGAAAACTTGTGATCCAGTAAGTACATGTCAGAAATCACACAATAAACTAAGTATGTGGAATGCATAAAGTGACCAGCAAATATTCACATTTGTTTTTCTTTACTTTATTCATCTGAAATAAAATGAACACTCTCAAATATGACCAAAGTGAATTTTTGTATTTCATCTATGGTCACTGACAAGAGATAGCTGGTCATTTTGTAACCATCAATCCAATAAATTACTGCATTTAATTTAAGGCATTTTTTTTTATACAATCATGATTGTGGAACATTCTTCCAGCTTCTTGCATTTCAGTCAGCTCTGATCTTCAAAAATTTAAATGCAATGTCAATTGTCCTTTTTTTTTTTTTTTTTTTTTTTTTTTTTTTTGTCACCTTGAATCCTGTTCTTTTATTCTCCTTTTTCTTTAATAATATTTTTTCTCAAATTCTTGGTGAAATGATTTATAAAGAAAAAAAAATTCTAATGAATTGTTTTTAAAAAAAACTAAAAAAAAAAGTTTTTTTTTTATTTACAGGCCCAGCACAATGCTCACTCTCCCTACCAATCTGTCCAGTATCCCATGGATACAGATACTGGATCTTCCAGTCTGGAACACTCTGCCCTTTATCCAAGCTTAGGTGAATATATGGGATTGAAACTTACACCTGATTTGGTTCAGGACATGGTACCAGTAGATAATCAAGTAAGTTTATTTTTCACCATTTTTTTTTTTTTTTTTTACATAGTTTCATATTGTGGTAACTGTAATTTTGTATTTAAATATTTTGAGACAACCTTTATCTTGATTAAATATTCTATGAAGATGTTAGAATCATTTAGGCTCTTTAAAATTTCTTTGGGAATGCTCCCAACCTTACCATGTTGAATTTTACTCATAAAACTAATAAAAATAGTTTCCCAATTTCTCCAAGAAAACATCTCATATCTTGGATTTTATTTTTATTTTATAGATAAGGCTTACCTTAATTCTGTTAATTTTAAGATTAAAGTTTTTCAAAAAGCATTTTGTATATTCTTCGACTTAGTCTCTTTGTATGTTTATGGAAAAAGTACCTGCTCATGTTGCTGCACCATGTATTATTACCAGTCATCTTGACTGTTTACTTGCATACTGAAAAGGAAGAGCGTATAAACAATCTCTTTACACATCAGAGCAGAAGAGGTAAAAATGGCTGCTATATGTGTGTGACACCCTCTGGTGGTTGCAGCGCCAATATGTTACATCCTCTGGTCGCGACACCAATATGTGACACTGCGCTGTCAGCCCATGGTCAACTCCCAGTTGCGGTGCAAAGCTGTAAGGTTTCTTCCACCTGCGTTTGGGGTTGACTCCTTGTCATCTGCCACCAGTCTGTGTCCTGGTCATTCACAGTTCGATACCAGCTTTGTCGTTCCCAGCTCACTTCCCATGTCTGGTTACTGAAGTAACTACTTTGATCTCAAGTCTAACCTACCCACATTGTGACTTTGATCTTAGGTAGACAAAATCAATCAGGCATTGGGCTGTAGTGCAAGTTGAATCCGGGGTGAAGGTGATATCGCACAAGCGTAAGTAAAAGAAGCAATAAAACAAAACTCAAGAGGTTCAAATATGTTGAGAAATAACAAATTATCTTTATCTGTTTGTTATATACAGGAGTGTGTTTCTCTCCCAGTCCATTTCTATGGATTTGTGACACTTTTGCGTTTCTTAAGCGAGTTTTGGTATCTTAAGTCATTCATCAATATAACTTGCTTTTCACAGGAAGGCGAAGTCGAAAGGACGTGGAATCTCTTGGTCAGCTTCTGCGAGGCAACACTCTGACTCTGTCCGGAACTGAACACTGAACTCCAACTGAAATTGCCTGGAGATGTTCGTTTATATGTATACCGACCAAAACCCGGTGTGGGGCCTGACGTGGTTTGGGTTCCTTGATAATTCTCGATTCCCAACAAGAATTCTCTTTGTTCTTAGGCCAGGAAAATTAATTACTTCCCCTTTTTCTTTTCTTTTCTTTTTTGGAAGATTAATCACTTTCCATTTTGGGGGGTTTCTCTCTCATCTGTGAAGGAAGGTCGGAGGAGAGTTATCCTCCTAGACTCTTCCTCTCTCACATTGGTATCTCATGCCAATCCCCTCAGTGGGTGCTAACAACTTCTCCACCTTTCTCATACATTCACCTCTGCCTATCACCCATGCTACCACTTGACCAATGATCTCTTGGCAATGTGGGTGTGGCTAAACTAGCCCTCTTAAAATTATCATCCAGAATTTTGTTTACAAAATCCTTTTTTTTTTTTTTTTTTTTTTTTTTTTTTCCATTGACCAAAACATTTTTTTTCACAAACCCCAGATTGCCAAATAATTATCACATCTTTCTTTTGGTGACACCCAAAATTCACTTAGTCAGGTCTCTCTACCGACTCATCAATCACTGCCAAAACCTGACATCTGACTTCTCTGCTAAGTCGACTTTTAACTGGGGGTCCGTGTTTACCTGAGAATCAAATTCTTTATTTTTCTCATGCCTTAAAATCCTTATCACCAGATGCTCATTTTCGACAACGCTGTGTCTGACGTCAAGAGTTTGAAAAAGTAATAATAATAATTTCCTCCAGGATTTTCTTCCTCATGCCAAAATTCTAACACATACCAGATGATTTCCCTTCGTTGGACCCAGGAATCAAAATTAAATGATATCTCTGAAAGATAACTAATATCGATTCTCTCTGCCTGTATCACGGTCGTCTCGAGCCAAAATTTTTTTTATGACTGCCATGTGTTGGCCAGCTTTGTTTTTCTTTCTGAATTCTTTTTCCCTTGGCACATCATTCCCTTACCATGACATTAATCTGTTTTGACAGTATCTAATATCTTGCTTTTTCTTACGGATTTTCTATCTCGTGCGAAAACTATCTTTCTTCGTAAATAAAATAAAATCTTCTTTTTAACCTCACTCAGTCTATCTTTCGATATAGCTCTTTCTCGCCTTAAGTCTTTCCTGTTTTTAATTTCTATGGTTAATTAGTTTGCCAATTACCATAGCTAAATAGTATCACAGTTGTCAGTCATGACAGATAAAATAGACTACTCTTCTAAATAATTCTCATGTGGCTATACAGGATGATTACATTCCATTACAACAGGCAACAAAAGGATTGGCTTGTTTGTTCAACTTTTGTTTTCTAATCGGTTATAATCATTGCTTTTTGTTAAAAAAAAAAAAAAAAAACCCAAAAACTGATGATTCAGGTGATGTTTGATTACAGGTTGTTGATTCAATTCAGTTATTCTTTTTTGTTGGTAGATATTTTGTTAAGCATATATTTCTGTTTAATCTATAGAATTAAAGAAAATAATTTAAAATGAATAGGCTTCTTAATTATTGTGCCAGCATTTACTTAGTATTGTTTGGTGTTGCATGACCCATATAGATACTATCAAACAAACATTTGAAGTTGTTAAGCATTATGAATCTAAAACAGAAATTGTTTCACCCATTAATGGATTATCATTAATATAGGCATTTTAATTATTTTTTACTCTTTTTCAGAATATCAGGAGTTAACTTGTTTATAAAACTATTTTTGATTTGGGATTGAACCAAAAATATTTATAGCTGATTTTACATTTTAAAGCAAAACTAATCCATCTTGAACTCCTGACTAGCAGCACCAATTTTGCAAGATCAGTAGTTAAAAGCAGTTATGATTTCGGTTATTTCTAAATGCAGAATATTAGGGTGGTTATAAAGCAGAAAAAAATTTTACTTGCAAAGATTTTTAACTGTTTTATATTTACAGGACCGCATTCTTGCTTTGAGGATGAAATCTGACAAATTGTAGATGGTTGCTCTGTGTTGCTCAGATTTGTCTTATAGCATGTATATGTTAGTATTTATAGCAAAAAAATAAAAGGAAAAACTTTCATGTTTCCTCTTAGATAATTTATCAAATAAAAATATGCTATGAAATGTTGAGTTGAAGAAATTAATCAGATAAGAGGTTAAACTAAATGAAATGCTATATTACTTAAGCTATCTATTTAAATGGTGTGGTACTTTTCATATATGAATATCATCTGCTACTCTCAAAGAACCACACCACCACACCGAATAAAGAACCCTTCAACATTTTTTTTTTTTTTTTATTATAGCAATCTTTTAATGCTAGTTTCATCTAGTAACCTGTTACTCAGGAAAAAAATATAACCCAAGAATGATTGTGGCTGATACAACTTAAACCAGTAGTTAATTATCCAATGTACGAAACAAAGCAAGTGTGGTGTCTATCAGTTTCCTGTGTTGAAATTATGCCAAAACTTATTTTTTATTTTTCCAGGTTGGTATTTGGCAAGGTAATAGTGGTCAGATGCAAGTAGCCCCTGTCACTGGCTCAAACAAAGGTTTAATGAGAGCAGAAATAAAACAAGGTATCAGAGAAGTTATTCTCTGCAAAGATGAGCACGGCAAAATTGGTCTTCGACTCAGGCATGTAAATAATGTAAGTATTTCAATCTATTAAGTTGATGACAGTTATTATTAAGGTATACCACTTTATTTTATTTTATCACTTTTCAGGTAATTTATACATTACATTATTAAAACAAAATTCTGGTTTTAATTTAATTTCATTTTTTTTCTAGAAATTTTTCAATATATTAAATTTTAAACTGCTGATCAGATAACAAACACTAAACAGAAAAATCAATGTTGTCATGTAGTAAATTCATTAATCAGCTTCTGCATCCAAAAAAAAAAAAAAAAAAAACTCTTATCTATTCAAAGATGATGGCTCACGTTTGTTCTGGATTCAACAATTTATATGGAAATCTATTAAACAAAAATGATTTCCTTCCCGAATAAATTTCATTTAGGTTGATATGTTGATGGCAGTCTTGAAAGCAACCATGATTTTGATTAAATCCAGTTTTCATTGGCATTGACTATCTTGTCCAAAAATGCTGCTTTTTTTTTTTTTTTTTTTTTTTTTTTTTATACATTGAGCAAGAAGAAAAGTATTTCAATATTGACTTATGTTTCTTTCCATAAGATTTTTTGCAACCCATTTGCCTTGCTTCTGAATTTTCCCTCACATTTGTAAAGTTGACTGGTTGCACAAGCAATAAAAAATTGAGTAAACTTGAAACAAAATGAACAAGACAACCCTGAAAATTTTATATCAACCTAAATTGTCATCTAAAATGTTTATTTAATTTCTTTTTTTTCCTTTTTAACTTTATAAGCAGTTATCCACTCTGATCAAAAGAGTGTTTGTATTCATGATTAGTCAAAGATCTCTGGTTTAGTATGATTAGTTCGATAAGGTCAAATTGGCAGCTGATATCAAGAATGACCTAAAAACTTGCTGTTATGGGGCAGAGACAAGGAACGGCTTGTTAATTTTAACACCTAAAACAAAACTACTTTTTATTAATCATTTGGGAGACTCTTTTCTGACTTCCTTCAACATGGCTGATAACCTTCAGGAGAGTGACTCACTGAGTCTTTTCAGGCTAATTTTCTCTGCTGACATAAAGTGGAAAGATTATAATAAAACAATTGCTAGTTCTGCTGCTAGGAAAGTTGGTTCACTGTCATGCTAGACAATTTTTCTCACCAGAATCTATCTTGCATATTTATAAGTCTACCATTCATCTATCTTCAAATATCTGCCACATCTGGTGCTCCTGTTATATATTTAGAGATTCTTGATAAATTCCAAACAAAAATCTGAAATGTTATCCTGGCTTCACTCACTTTCTCACTGCTGTAATGTAGATTCCCTGTGCCTTTTCTAGGAATACTTTCATGACAATTGTTCTGATGAATTTTCTGCTATAGTTCCTAGACTTGATAAATTTAAATGCAATACCGGATTGGCAACAAGGTCTCATCATTTTACAGATGAATTATGTAACCATAAGTTCTTTGCTAGGAGTTTTTCTCATACTTCTTGCTGGTGGAACACTCTTCTTGCTTCCCATGCAACTTTGCATTTAAATTTTTGAAGATCAATGTATATCTTTATCAACTGTCTTGATTTCTCTTTTATTGTTCTCTTGCCATAATGTTTTCTTTTTCTTATTCTTTCAAACCCTGTAATCACTTTGTTTTAGTGGCTTTATTACCTTGCTTGGAGTTAAATTATTAAAATAAAAAATATATTGAAACACTAAATGATGTCACTTTATTATGCAAGTCAGTTTTCACAATAAAATTGCTATTAACCAACTGATGTTGGTAAAAATTTTAGGATACATTTGTATAATCAATGTTATGTAACTATCAGTTTTTAATATCTATTATTTAAAATATTGATAACTTATTTTTGGGATACCAGGTTTTATTATGCAAACAAATTAAGTGCAATATAAATTTTCATTTAAGAATAAATCCAGAAATATATATAACTACTAACATAATGTTCTATGTCCCTGAATAAATTATTTCATTTCACATTAATTTGGACTCCTCTGCATTTTATAATGATCATTAGTCTTTTGCTAATTGATTTTAACTTTTTTATTGACTTGACTTTTATCATCTTTGCTTGAATATTGTTTTTCATTCTCATATATATCTCATTTATTGATGGAAAACCAATGGAAAACATTAATCCAATGGAAGTTCCTATTGGATTAATGTCTGGAGAGACTTTGGTATACTGGAAACCGTTCTTGGTAAATTAGGTAATAGTCTGCTTTGCAGAATGTGAACTATTGTCTTGCACAAATACATTCATGAGGTTAAAGGTTCTTGGTTGTGATATGTTCCACTCAAAAATGTTTTATCCAAGAACTTATAATTTTCTGCTTTTATCTCAATATTATCCTGAACTTTAAATAGATTTGTACTTTTACTGCCATCAATAGTAACCTTTACTTGTTTTTATATAGTATAGGTTGTAATGAAAATTAAAAGAAAAAAAAATTAGTTTTAAAAATGTCCTTAATTTTCATGCTCACAGTAAATTATATCAGGCTTAAATTTAATGATTCTGCTGAATGTATTCCTTTTTCTATATAAAGAATATAAATTTATCCCAACTGCTCACAATCAAAAAGGTTTTAGTCTTCAAAAAAATGTTAATTTACAATTACCTTCCTTGTATTGTGACTAAATTTTCTCTTTATTCTTAAATTCTCTCTTGTATCTTCAGTTTGGTTATAATAAGCAAAAAACAATAACAAATATTTAATGTCAAGATTTTTAACCAAAAATTGCCAGAAAAAATATAATCTTGCTTTGTTTAATAAGTGAAATTAGCTGTTAAAATTAGACACATTTTTAATATTTAAATTGAAGGCCTTCAACCTCAATTTTTCATATTGATCTATGATTTTTTTTTTTCTTTTTTATTTTTTATATAAACTTTGATTGCATTTTTAATTTACTTATTCTCCCTAGGGTGTGTTTGTGGCTTTAGTTCAATCCGGCTCTCCTGCAGCAATGGTTGGTCTTCGATTTGGAGACCAGATCCTTCAAATTGACAACCAGCCAGTTGCTGGTTGGGATAACGAAAAAGTGCATAAATATTTGAAGGACGCTAATCCACAGAAAATTTCAATGGCTATCAGGGACAGGTAAATAATAAAATTTTGTTGCAGACTGATAATGAACTTTAAAAAAAATGGTTCAAAGTTGGTAGATGAGTGTTCTGTTTTCTTTCAATTTAACCAATGAAAAAGATTTTTTCTATATTCTAGATTTTTATAACTTGCAAAATTCAGAAACCATAACTAGTTCTTACCTATAGAAAACTTAGTTGCTTTTTTTTTTTTCTATTCAATTTTAAAAAGGAAACCTTAAATAGAACTGAATAAATAAAAAAAAAACAAAAAAAGACAATATTTTCTCAGTGAATCTTGTTATATAAAGTTCTTGAAAATTACTAATAATGGTAAACATACAATGCAACACTCTCTCAAACTTTCCACTGACCGACCAATGATTATCCCATGGTGCAGTTTGGTTCTCTATCTCTGTGTGCACTGAAAGCTGGGAAAGGGCCTGCTGCATGCTCATACAGGTAACAAGATGAAACACAAATGCCATGTCAATGATAGCACAAAGCCTGTTTCCCCATATAAAAGGTATTTTTATTCTGTGCTTCGACTTTTTTTTTTTGTCTGGGTTGGTAGGTGACACTTGAAACAACTTCTGTTAGCTCTCTCCTCATCCCCTACCAATTCCTTGCCTATTTACATCAATGTGTGACTGACAACATGAATGGACAACATTGGAGCCACCCAACAGACAAGTCCATCTCCTGCCAGAGACAGACGGAACTAACCCTTCGATCCCAAGCATGACTTAATATAGACCGGCACCAAGATACACTCCATTTCTGGTTTTGTTGTCACTTGATCTTCAAAAAATCCACATCTACTCCTTTACTTCCCTGCTTCTCTTTGGTCAAAGAAAACTAGATTTTAAAAGGAACCACCTGCTGGCTATAAAACAAACACTTGAAATTTAAATAAATTACATCTTCCTTTTCTACGTGGGTGTCCATAGTATCACAGCAGGAAACTTTTGATAATCCTATCCTAATTAATGTTAAGCAATAAAGACAAAACTTGTAGGGAAAAATGAAAGCGTGGAAGCATAAATTTCTCTATATGCTGGAAATTAATGCCATTGGTGCTCCAATGTACATAGGATGGTAGGAATCTTAAAATGGAGTTGGCATTCTACTGATCTTTGTTCAGTACTAGGTCATTTCACAAACAATTTATTACTGAATGTGTATTGTCATTAACAAGCTACAACAAATATTCCGAGAAAAACCCAAAATTGAATATTAATAATTGTTGACACTGATGTGATGTTCTGTGGTTAATAATATAGCTGTCCTGTCATTAGTATGTCAATGAAAGTTTTTTAATGTAGCCAATCAATAGTGAGCATGGCATTAATGTCCCTACCTTATAATTATCAACTAATGTGTTAATGAAATATTCTGCTTAATATATATTGAACATGTCAACCGTCTTAAAAGGTGGAAAGTATTGTGCCATTGAGCTTATCTGAACTTATTTATCAAGCTTAGATTGTGACATTTTATGTAAATTGTTTCTATTTTATTTGATTTTAATAGCGTTTTTTGGTTACAATGGGTTTTTGCCTTGGTGCAGTTATTAACATCAATTGTTTGTGTAGAAATATGTCTAAATGTTATCTTTAACTAAAATCATTTTTGTGTTGCTCATCAAAATGTATATAAAATACATCATTGTAAAAAATATCAGATCATTGTAAGAGTTTGTGCCTGATTTTCATTGACACTAGTGTTTATTTTGGTGCCGATTTCTTGATTGAAACCTTGCATTGTTCAGTTGTGAGGCATCCTTTGTTGAATGTTGACATTTTGTTCACAAATGAATGCCTTAAAGAGGGAGGATGGAAAGTTGCACTTTCACCATCTTATGCTTTATGAATTTTGTACAGGAGTAAGTATCAGTATTGCGACAAAAAACATTCAGAAGGTTTATTTGGATCGTGTTCCAGCTCTTTAGATGGTCAGAATGTGGTTTGACAGATTTTGTCAGGGTGATTTTTACCTAAACAACCAACCATGCTCTGGGTGACCTTTCAATTTTGATGAAGATCCTCTGCTTACCATTGTGGAGAATAAAACGGATTTCAATTGAAGAGATTACTAAGAACTTGAAAATCAATATCTCAACTGCCTTTTGCCATTTGAAGAGACTTAGTTTCGTTTCCAAACAATACATGGTTTCCTTATCTGATGGAACTGAACAGGCTAGATTGCATTTGCTGTTCTTGGACAGAATTGTCACAGGCAATGAAAAAGGAAATGAGTTGTTTGATAACCTCTGCTGCAAATAAGTTTGGGATTTTATAGAATGGTGTTGCTGTCCATTTGGTGGGATTGCAGTGAGATAATTCACTTTCTACTTTCAGCCATTGAAAGAATAACTGCAAAGAAGTATTGTGACCAATTCACCAATCTCAATGCAAATATTCAAGAAAACCTGCTGATTTTGGCAAACCAAACAAGTGTCATTTTCCACCACAACAATGCAAGACCACATTTCAAAACAGACCTTGCAGAAGCTTAGGGTTGAAATAGGAAACCCTCCATCACCCACTGTATTTATTTGCTATATAATATAGGAGGAGGAGGGGAAGGGCTCCCTAAGTAGGTTAACTACCGACAAGGGAGCCCCATGTCCGAGGCCCGTTTTTACTTCTAAACTGATTGCCACCTGAGGCTAAAGAACTATGTCCTGCTATTTACCCATAGCTGGGGGAGAAGAGGATTTATAACTTTCCCACGGGTATTAGCACGCAAGTGAATGTAATGGATCCAACTGGAGTTCAAACTCTGCTCACCGATTCCTCAATCCAAGCCACTATACATTACTCCATTGTGCCTCCCATTCTGACTTTGCTCCTTTTGGATTTTCATTTGTTCCAGTCTCTTCAGAACAATTTAAATGACAAGATAATTGACTCTGTACAGTCAATTGAAAAATACCTCACAACTTTCTTCCAACAAAAAAACAGTTTCTATGAAACAAGCTTGTAAAACAATGGGAGACTGTTTTTTAAAAAACAGTGGAAACTATGTACTTGACTAATGTTTTTAGTGAGTATGTAAAATTGTATTTTTAATTTTCTGATTGGGCACAAACTTTTGTAATGGTCTAATAAAAGTTTGACACTTTTTCATACTTTGATAAAGTCATAAATGCCTTCAAATTTAGATTTCTTTATCTTTTTTTAATTTTTTTTGTTTTCTGTCTTAAACTTCTGTCTCACAATGATAACTTCTAATCTCATTCAACTTTAACATGTATACAAATATAATTCAAATCTCGTTAATGCTGGTTTCTATATAAATATTGACTTGATTAAGAAAGATAATTTCATTAATAAGTGCTTCATTTAATAATTTCAAGACGTAAAAAAAATTTCAATTCAAAACTTTTTTAGAAATGTATGTTAGTTAAATTTATTTTCTTTGTAGACCATTTGAGAGAACAGTGACCATGCAAAAAGACAGTCTTGGTTATGTGGGATTTGTTTACAAAGATGGGAAAATAAAATCTTTAGTAAAAGATTCTTCTGCTGCCAGAAATGGTCTTCTTACTGACCATCAACTTATTGAAGTCAATGGACAGAATGTTGTGGGACTGAAGGTTTGTATATTTTTATTTTTATTTATTTTTTTTTTTTAAGATAGTTATCCTCATTTCCCACTATTTTCCTTTTAGTGAATCTTTGTTCTTCTAATCTTGTCAATCAATAATTTTCTTTCTAACATTTGGCACTATGCATCATTTATAAATATTACTTCCCCCTTTTACTGTATATGGCATCTCCTCAAAATAGTGTTTTATATATTTTTTCCCTACAGTAGGATACCATTTCTTTCTGTGGTCGACCAGTTGCTATCCAAGGCTATAGAACCCAGTCTGTCCTGCTATTTACCCATAGCTGGAGAGAGAAAAAGATTCATACCTTTCCCAAGGGTATTAGCATGAAAGTGAATGTAATGGATTCGACTGGAGTTTGAACTCTGCTCTCTGACTTCTATATATTTGAGATTGCAGTAGCCTGGCTCTCAATTTCAGTCAGGATTGTTTTAGGTGTTACCATAGAAGGATATGACTAGACAACCAAGAAATTCAAATTCATCTTGCATTGGCAGGACTAATATTTTGTTTGGCAAAAATAGTTACCTGCAGATGCTAATGGTTAAGTTGCCTTTATTTTTATTTTTTAAAAATTTTTTGTGGTCTGTATCAGTTTAATTTTACAAGCAAAAAAATTCAAAATATCTTTCTTTCAAAATTATGAAATTATGTTCACTAAAACTTTCTTGTTCATGCAGCTTGATCTCAGTAATGATTAACATTGTTATGGTAAGGAGATATTAATTAAAACATTCATGCTTGATGTTGCCTTAATAGCCAAGTATCACATTACTAGATAAATGAGACCAGGTTGCTAATACACTTTTCTTTTTTTTTTTTTTTTTTTTTTTTTTTTTTTTTTTTTTTTCCTGAATATCTATTTTTAATGATTTTAAAAGTAGTATTATTTCTTTATCACTTCTCAATTTTAATAGGAATAAAGAGAGACAAATTTGAATTGCTTGGTGTTAAATGAACCTTACATGTATGCAAAATGTCATGTTTGTGTGTACATTTTCCTACATCACAAATTCTTGTAATATCAAAATTTATAAGTATTCTATGTTGCATAAAATGACTAATTATCAAAATGTATATTTTGAACATAAACAAGAACATTCAAGTTATTTTATAAGTAAACTGCAAAATTACTTGTTATTTTTGTTTTTTGTTAACCTATGGGGGGGTATCTATAAATTCTGTCTCCATGCCTCTACCTTGTAAATAATAAGTAATGTTAAGTGGGTGATCACAGAATGTATTTATTTTGTTAAGCCTATACAGACTGAACTATACACAATTATCTCTATTTTGAATATTGAGATCCCCACCCCATATGGTTATTGAAATTTTTTGGCTAAGCTGTTTCTTTGAATAGGCATAGACACGTTTGATTGTTTTGTTTCATTATTTGCAATTAATTGTAAATTTAATATTGGAAGCTGAAAGCTGTTACAACTACCATTATATTTATTAATTAAACTTAGGATTGGCAGCCTTGAAGCTTTTATCTTGGCTTGAATTATAACAATAATTCTAAGTTTCTGATTCATCTTGAATGTCTGAAATTTTTATCTTTTTGTCATGTGTTTTGGATGCATGGAAGGCATTACTGTTCTCATTAGGGCAAGTTATTTTCATTTTAAGAGAGCAAAATAAGCTGAAAGTTAAATTAAAATGTAAATTTGCAATGCTCTTTATATACCTGCTGATATTTAAATGTCAAAGAAACTATAAAGATATGGAGAACTTTTTTCTTTTTTTTTCTTACAAACCTCTGACATGACAAAATGTAATAAGGCTGAAGCAGTGAATAATAAGGCAATTGTTGAAGATTAAGGAGTGCCATCAACAATATGTAATCTTAT